TGCTGTCCCCACCCCCGGCTCAAACCTGCTGTCCACAAGGCTCCCGTGCGGCTGCCATCTTTCTTTCCAGAGAGGCCAGGGCGAATGGAGCAACACCCTTTCATGTTTATATTTAATGGATTCCTTTTTAAATTATCATTAATCACCATGAGATACGCTTACAAAGCTTTCATATTTGAGTTTCCATCATACAATGATTGAACACCCATCCCTTCACCAGTGCACATTTTCCTCCACCAATGTCCCCAGTATTCTCCCCCTTCCTCCCCCCAATCCGACCCTTCCCCCTTCCTCTAAGGGCTCCTTCTCTAGTCATTGGATCTGTGACTGCTTTAGGGATGATATACCCTGTCTGTATCTCAACGGTTAAGAGTACATGAGCAACTTAAGACTTTTTCCGTGTGGCTATCCGCATTCTTAGGGAAGACTGACTGCCATACAGACAAGAAAAAGTCCAGACAGAAAACTGAGAACATTGAAGAAAATTTAATCAGGGCCAGAGAGATAGCTCAAGTACTCAAAAGACACACATGCTAGGCTGAGTTCAACCACTAGTACTATTTGCCTCTATATAGATCTACTGGTCCTATACTCACCAAAGTTGGTACTGCAAAACTTGAATAATATTCTACTGTACAGACAGTGTACATTTGGCGTATTAATTCATCAGCTGATTTGCCATATCTTGGTTATTATCAATGCTGTTGCTATGAACTATCATTTGTAAATTCTTGGAGTGGCATGTTTTCATTTATCTTGGTATATACTCAGGAGAGGAACTGCTGAGTTATGCTTAACTTTTTGAGGAAATGTCAAACTTTTTTTGTTTGTTTTTTTTGGGGGGGCCACACCTGGCAACCCTGGGGGCTACTCCTGGCTCCATGCTGTGCAACTGATCTAAGTAGTTCCTGAGGGCTCATGAAGTGTTAGGAATCGAAGTGGGGTTGGCCAGATCTAAGACTGGTACCTTAACTCCCGTATAGTCTCTCTGGTTCTCTCTCAGCTTTCTAAACAGTTGAACCATTTCACATTCTCACAAGCAGTAGAAGCATGAGGGTTCTGATTTTTCCACATACTTTGAACACTACATAGTTTTTAAAAAATTATAGCTAAGTTCGTCAGAAGTGGTACTTCATTTAATTTTGTGTGTATATTACTATCTTTTCTAACTTACTGATCATTTAGATATTACCTTTGGGAAAATTGTCTGTTCAATCAAAACTGAGTTTTTAAAAACTTTAAAATTTAGTCTCTATATCTGTTTCCTAAATGGTTTTTATTTTTAATTTTTTAAACAAAATTTATTCTTTTTTGCTTTTTGGGTCACACCCAGTGATGCACAGGGGTTACTCCTGGCTCTGCACTCAGGAGTTACTCCTGGCGGTGCTCAGGGGACCATATGGGATGCTGGGAGTCGAACCCAGGTCAGCCACGTGCAAGGCAAACGCCCTACCCACTGTGCTATCTCTCTAGTCCCTAAAAGTTTTGTTTTTAAAATAAGAATCAACACCCGATATTCAAGAGCTACTCCTAAAGGTAAAGGCCCTCCCGTTGATCGTCGATTTGCTCGAGCAGGCCCAGTAACGTCTCCATTGGAGACTTTGTTGTTACTGTGTTTGGCATATCGAATACTCGGTAGCTTGCTGGGCTCTCCGAGAGGGGCGGAGGAATCGAACTCGGGTCGGCCATGTTGGCCGCTTGTAAGGCGAACGCCCTACCCGCTGTGCTATCGCTCCAGCCCACAAGAGCTAGATTTTCTCTGTCGTGTTACCAATTTCATACAATATTTTGTTTGTTGGTTATGGAGTTTTCTTCTTATGGCTTCATAAATTCTGATATTTAGGGGCTAGAAAAATAGCAGGTGAGGTACTTGCTTTGCACATGGCTGACCCAGGTACAATCCCAGGCATCCCACATGGCACTCTGAGCACTGCCAGGAGTGCTTCTTGAGTGCAGAGTCAGGAATAAACCCTGAGCTAGATGTGAACCACAATACTCTTCTACTAATATGAGCTACAGAGATGATTTTCTTCTCCTTTTATTTGCAAATGGTAAACTCAGAGTCATAAAATGTCATTCCAGAGATCATTTTGTTAGTAGAGATGGAGCTAGTGTTCCTTTATTGGTCTTTTTTTTTGCTCAGTGTTATTTCTCATATGGCTGGAGATTCAATCCATATGAGTAACATTAATGTATCGTATACTTAATACTGGCATGGGGCACAAATTCATTCATACCCTGATTATAATTACTGACTCATGACTCAGACACACTCAAACCAGTGGATTTCAGTTTCAGAGAGAGAATGTTAAATCAAAGTTGGTGGTTTGGAAAGCTAAAAACAGGGGTATACAAAGTAGTTTAGTAATATCTATATAACCCACAACATATCTAACCAGAAAACTCTGAAGGGAAACAGATTCTGTCTGTAATGTGTATCAAAAGCTAATGTGACAAAAGAGTTGGGAAATCTTAGACAAGTCACTTAATCTCCCTGAGTTCAGCTGCTTCTAAAAAACATGGTAACTTAAACTTACACAATATATAACTAGTTTTCCACTACCTAGATACGACCATTTTGTAATATATACGACATTTTGTAATATATGCTTTATCTGTACTTAAGAAAAAAACCCTCAAAGCTGAAAATATGACATTCTGCTCATATGTAAACGCTGTAATGGGGTTGGAAAAAAGAGCTCATTTGTGCTTTGTGTGTACCAGCCCTGTTGAGGAGTCATGGGTTTGAATCTAACATACCAATGGTTCCCTTAACCAGTACCAGGAGTGCCCCCCAAACTCCACCCACAATTAACCCTAAATTTCAGTGATGAATACAGTGTACAGTCCAGTTTTCCCATTCAATAGAATTGTAGAATAACCTTGGTTTGCCCTTTCTGCCTTGCCAGAGAGCTTAGGTTTATTGGGTTGCTCCCATCACAATGCTCCCGTTCCTCTGTGTTTATTTGTAACCTCTTTGTACTCTGCTTTCCCAACTGGTCAATCATCTTTATCTCCATATCAAACTCTGCTCATTTGTAAATATTGCTTTTCTCTTCTCCTTAAGTCCTTTGCATAGTTAATTCAGAGCAAAGTCCTTTTTGTACAGACACAAGAAGATAGTTAATGCTATGCTTTTGTAACCTGGGAGTTAACTGACCCTGAATGGTATTCATTCCTGGACATCTGTTCTCTAGACTCAAGTCTCAGTTGCCCTTACTTCCTAGTAACCTAAAAGCAGGGTATTGACGAGAGACTGGATGGATCCAGGGTAAGCTGTGAGCTATCCTGGCACTGAAATGGGCCAGGCCAAGGCATCATAATACTTAACTGTACGTTAAGAGCATGGTCATGGACAAATTGTCACAATCCAAAAAGTAACAACTAGATAGGACCCTGCTAGGGTTAGGAAAGATTAATATGGCCTGAGCACTGCAGTCTGAGAACTATAGATGTCCCCAGGAGAGCCACCCTACAACCTTAATGTATCTCTTACAGTGTCCATACAAAATAACTAATATTAAAAAGTAGAATTAAGATGTTAACTAAGATGTTAATTAAGTTATTGGATGAAGAAGAGGAGAAACACCCCTATGTGGTATTTTGCCCTTGAAAGGAGGAAGAAGGGCTTTCATATGTTAATTGTACTACCAGATGGGGTGTGATTGCTAGCCCCAATGCTGGGAGTTGGTGAGAGACTAGAGAGAGACCAGGCTGTGGGAGCGAGTACAGAGAGATGAGCAGGAGAGATTGGAGGAGATTGGAATGAGGGGCAGTGTGAGACTGGAATGAGGAACTTAGTGGGACTGGAACAGGTGCGTGGGGAGAATAGAATAAACAGCAATTGATCACCAACCAGCATGGCCCTCGTTTCCTCCTTCGTTTGTTTCCTTGTTTCCGCCCATGGTATTGGCCACCCCGGGTGGGGAAGTGACCCAAGACCACAAAACACAGGCAGCGAGAGAGAAACACGGGGCTCCCTAGCCCGCCTGGTGATTACACATAGAATAAAGGTATAAGTTATGACATATTTAGCACACATCTCCTAAGACTGAGGACACATTCCTACATTATAGATCTGGTAACACTTTTTTGTAAAGCGGCAGAAGGCAATTGTTTAATAAGGCAATGTGCTCTTTGTTAAGTCTCCAGCTCTGCAGTCATCCATGGTAACAGCCACAAACAATTCATAAACTAGTGGCCAAGGTTAAGTTTCCACAATTTTATTTACAAAGTACATCCTACAGGCCACAGGATGCTGGCCTCTACAATGTAACAGTGCTGTCATTTCAAGAAAAATCACAAATTCCATTACATTATTTGTCAACCAGTCTATATTAAAAATTTCACAGCTGTCCCCAAACGTTGGTATTATAACTGGTTTAAAGTAAGATCTAATCAAGATTCATATTCTGCATCTATGATGTCTTTTCAGGGCATTAATCTATTCCTCTGTTTACCTCCTCGGCAGTTAAGCCTAAGTGTTTAGGACAACACAGTCATTTTATATCTGGAAACACCGAAGAGGGCTACGTATTACTACATTTAAACACTTAAATCTTAAAACAATATCAAAAAAGTTAAGCATTATTGTGTCAAAAGAAATTTATACCTGTGCACATAGGGTACTAACATCAACTGTATTAATATACCAATAATAAATAAAAGGCTCGAGCGGGCCCAGTAACGTCTCCATTGGAGACTTTGTTGTTACTGTGTCTGGCATATCGAATACTCTCGGTAGCTTGCCAGGCTCTCCGAGAGGGGCGGAGGAATCGAACTCGGGTCGGCCATGTTGGCCGCTTGTAAGGCGAACGCCCTACCCGCTGTGCTATTGCTCCGCCCTTATATATACCAATATCCAATATACCAATATCCACTTTATATTAACACACTATGAAAATTAAACTGCTTCAAGAGCATCAACCCAATAAATTAAAAAATTCATTAAAAAAAACCCCTATAGTTAACACATACAAAAAAAGGAAACTAATACTCACCCAGAAATAGAACGATCAATAGGACTATAACAGTAAGAAAAGCTTTGTTCCAGAAACTTGCAATTTTACCCCAGAGACTGAATGAAAAGATCTTCTGCCATCTGTAAGACAATATTATATCATTAGGTAGATAAATCAAAAGGTTTTGAAGCACTTTACAACCCCCTAATAATATTTTGGTAGCTGAAAAGAATTACATGCATTTGTGAGGGGACCCTCTCCAGCAGGGATTGGGAGCAGGGCCCACTTCGGGCCCACTTAGGGGTACATGGTGATGACTTCTGGGGCTGGTAGTTCAGCACTCACTGGGGCGAGGTGCTATACCCCACAGTGCTCACTAACAGCATGTGAGTGTGGATCTTCCTCAGAATTATTTTTCCCACTCCCAGAAATTTAATTTTTTTTATGTCATGTTATAGAAAATGAATGTCGATGAAATAAGGAGCAATTTTCAAAATTTACATACTGATTTTCTTCTATCAGGCCCCCAAATTCACTAAGGAGTGGCCAAAAAAACAATATATATAATATGTATGTACACAAATATATTTTTAATATATTTTTAAAATTTTTTTCAGGGCTCTTCCTACAGTACGATAAGCAGCAAGCTGACCCTATCAGGTTTCTGAGCCAAATTACAAACTTTCCAAGTCTCTTACAGTCCTGAGATCTACTAAACTTCAGTGGGTTATCTCCAGCAAATAATTTTTGAAACATTTTAATGCCATAAAAACAAACATCTTGCAACATTTCTTATTACAAGTGTATTTCACCATTTGTAATGTAAAATTTCTCCATCTAAAAGAGAAATCCTATTAAGTGATTATACGGGTAAACGGAGCCAATGCTTCTATTAAAACACTCAGCACTTAAACCCTTTATTAAGGGGCCAATGGCACAGTATGATTCTGACAGTTTTCACACTCAGCACTATTACTATATGCTCATTAACTGTAGGAGGCAGCAAAATTGTCACTGAACATTAAGTACTTCTTTGCTTACATAAGGCCCAAACTCAGTGTTGGCCCAGGTTTCGAAATTATCATTCCATGGGCTCAAGAAAACAGTTTGCACCTGTGCGTGCCTATACCTGTAACTACCCATTACACGGACTTAGTTCAGCTGTTATAACTATCACTGCTTTACAGGACTGTGTCTGTAACCAAAGGGCCCAAAGTACTGGGGCCCTCATCCTTGTAGATAACAAGGGGGAAATTCTTTTCTGTATTGCTACACACAATTTGGTGGGAGGCTGGAGAGTGTGCGTGTGGGGATGAAGGTGCAAGCCTGGCACACACACAAGACCCAGGGAGGTTCCAGGACCCCCAAAGTACCCCTGGATTGCTCCAGGTAGTCCCCACAACTGCAGGCTGCCCTGCATTAAGCCATCTAGGGAGTGGCTTGGGAGTTGGGTGGGTGGGGTTGGAAAGTGCCCTTCAAGTAACCCGGCCCCCCAAGTTTTGTATAGGACATCGAGTCCATATTGCCTTTGCTAATGAGCTGTATGTCACCGAACCTTTTTTTTTTCCTTGTCAGGGAACTTGGAGGGGGTTGTCAGGTCTTCCTGGCCCTGGGAGCAGGGGCTCCAGCACGGCCCCAAAACTGTTGGCGGTGGGAACCCGGGGTTCCACGTGTCCTGGCACAGCTCTAGGCCCACCGGCCGAGTGCGGGGTGGGGGGTGGAGGGGGGGCTGGGGATGGGGGTGGTGGGAGGTTCCTACCTCTGCGGCGGGATGAAGGGCAGACAGAAGATCAGAATGAGCCCTATCTCGGCGTAAAGAAAGGTTGCGACCGCCGCCCACTGGAGGCTCATTTTCCTCTCTCTTCACACCTAAACACCGAGAAACCACTTGAGTTTGCTGCTCTCCGTGGCAAGATGGGTTCAAGACACGCGAGGGGTGGTGCCGAGGGTTGGGTCTAGTGTGTGTGCGGGTGGATGGGTGGGGGGTTACAGAGTCCGCCCCGCCCCGGTGGGGCACCCGGCTTCCCCCCACTTCCCCTACCCGGGATCCAGGGACGAGACCCCGAGAGAAGGGTGCAGGGTGCGGGGCGCGGGCGTGTGGGAATTCACTGGGCGGCCAGCGCGGCGGCCGCACAGCACAACGCCCGCGGCCCGCTCGGTGGGGGGTGGGCAGGGCCGGCCTCCCCGGGGCCCCTGGCGGAGGGAACGGGGCCAGCTCGCTCCGCACGTCGCGGGCCCCCCTCCAGCGGCTCTCGCCCGGCCTTACCCAGCCCGGCTCCCCGCGCTGCTCCGCGGCCCGCCGACGCTCTGGACGTCACACGCCGAGGCGCGGGGGCAGGTGGGTGCTGCACGCCCCACCCCCAGCCCGGGCATTGGACGCCGCCCCCGCCCGTCGTTACAGATAATGGTTTCCTAATTGGCGGTGCAGTTACTGGCTGACTCAGCCCCACTCTTGGCCGGAGCTGGGGGGCCGACCCGGTGGGCGATCGCAGTCTCCAGGGTGCGGCTGAGTTGGGGAAGGAGGCGGTCAGTCCCCTCTAGCGGGCCTGGGCCGGCGGCTGGGGTCGCGGGAGCCGCCCCGGGGTGGAGCGAAGGCCGCCAACGAGCTCCCGCGCGCGCTCTCCCCTTCCCTCCTTCCTCTCTCCACCCCGTTTCCTGCCCGGCCTCCGCAGCGCTCGCCAGCCAGGGCCGGTCAGGGGAGGCTGTTGGACATTTTGTTCTATGGAAATCGTGGGGTGCGGGGACACTGGATTCCTAGCCCGGCTTGCACGGGGGGGGGGGGGGGGGGGGGGGCGGGGTACTACTCCTGGAGATTTCGATCCCTCGATCATGAAAGAAGTTGATGTCTGAGAATCCGCAGCGTTGAAAACACAGTTTTCGATTTTGCTGCGTTTGTTCAGGGACTAAAGAGAAACGGAAAGATAACGTTTGGGTTCCCGGTAGGCGGGGAAAACAATGTGGGAGGTTACTGGGGCGGCCACTGAATTTAAAGATTTTTTTCTTTGTTTTTCTTTGAATTATTTTTTAGGTTTGCAAATTGCATGAATACTCTAAGATGAACAACTCCCCCTCCCCCCCCTCCCCCCAATATTGACTATACCAGAGTGCAAATCAAAGTATCATTATTCTGGGGATGTTAAATAATGAAAATAGATAATCATAGACTAGAAAAACACAGGTTGGAATTCTCTTTTGGGCCACAGCAGAGGTGCTGGAGTTGGCTCCTGGTGGTTTTCAGGGAACCATGCAGTGCTGATAGAATGAATCTGGAGCCGAGCTTTCCCACGTTTAAGCTGCTTCCACAAACCAGGTCAGAACTTAGGTCGAAAATAAGTGATCCTTATAAAAGACAAAAGACTATAGTTAAAAACAAAAACAAAAACCGAAGACACTAAATGTGGTTTTAACATTGCAAGATCCCCCCCCCCCCACCTTAATAATATCCGGTTATGTGTACAGCAGTGATAAAATTCACTTCAGAGTGAATCTATAAACATAAAAATGACCATGTTTTGACCATGATTCCCTATTTTTAATGTGAAATGAAACAAAAAATCTTTAAAAGACATCAAATTGATAAATAATTGTAGCTAGAAATGTGGCGATATGGATTCAATTATTATTCCCAAACTAGCTCCTTATAGTGACACTTTTCAAGCTGGTAATATAAAGAACAATGTTTTAATTATGAAACTTAACATAAAATATCTATTTCTGGCCACAAAACTCTTACCACGAACATATCCAACCTATGGAACTTAACTTTGAACTAAAAAAAACTACTTTTTAGTTCAAAGTAGTATCGCCAACTGCCAGAAGATAGAAAGATGCTATCACTAAAAACTGAGCATGAAAGTTAAGTTTTTTTTTTTAAATTAAAAGACCTGGTCATTATTCCTTAAGAAATGATGTTTTGAATATATAATCGTTTTCAGGTCAGTTACTCCCACAATTTTTATACCTGAGATTGTGAGGGACTGAAATAATGATCACTTTGAAAGTCATATTAGTTAGACTCATATGTTCAAAGGCTCTACATATGTTAAAATGCAAATCTAATGTAACTTAAGAGTTTCATTGATTTTCAGTTTTAAATAAAATCTGATGTTCAATTAACACTCAGTGTTTGTCAGTGACAAACACAAAAAAACCTGAGTTATACATAAATGAAAACAACCTGTGAGGTGTATAATTCATTTAGGAAGTAACAGTTTGATTTTCCAATTAGATTTTTAATGTAAGCTGGGAATGCAATCCTATACAGAACTTCTTATGGCTCCTTATTTTACATAGCTGTTGGCACTTGCTTAAAAGCAAACCAGGTTTATTTATAGGTTAGTCACTTTTATAGTAAAAATTTTGTAAAAAAACAATAACATGATTCCTTTAGGAAAAGCATCACATTAAAAAATAAATCCATATAAGAATTCAGAGTAGTTTCTGTCACAGTTTGAATCTAATATAGTGGAAATATTTGAATCATTTGAACCTGTAATATTGTAAATTATGGGGCTATCCTAATCTTTCGAGAATCAGACTCTCTAAAGATGTAGGCAAAGGAGGCAAAGGCTGATTTGAAAGTCACTGATTTAAAGTAAAAACCAAAATGTGACCAGTGTATTTTCATTGTTGGGTATAAGATGAAGTAGATTAAAATAATTTAGAAAGCCTAATGGATCTTATAATGGTCTGTAAGATAATCTAAGACTGCCGATGTGCTTGACAAAGCATTAAAAACTCTTTTTTCCTGCTTTGAAGTTATTTTTTCCATCATGTACATTAAATGTTGATGAAAACACATAAAAGGAGTTCCAAGTTCAAGAGCAATGTCAACCCAGTCCCAGACGCATGTCAGAGGGGTTTCCACATATCCAGCAAACATGGCAGGGTTTGTTAAGAGTCCTCTTGCAACCATCACACCTACAAATTAAATTGTATTTGTTCATTAAGAAGTCAAAGTTACCTAACACACATACACACACACACATATATAAATTCATAGTTATGAGGTCAAATTCCATTAGAGAAGACATTAAGATAATAAAGCATTATTATTAGGTTCACAATACTTTTGTGATATACATTTAACATATTAATGTTGGCACTGCAATTTGTGTAACACTGTAACATTATCCTCCTGTTGTTCATTGATTTGCTCAAGCTGGCCCAGTAATGTTTCCATCGTGAGACTTGCTTGTTACCAGGTCTGATTCCTCTGCCCCTCTCAGAGAGCCCGGCAAGCTACCGAGAGTATCTTGCTCACACGGCAAAGCCTGGCAAGCTACCCGTGACGTATTCAATATGCCAAACACAGTAACAAGTCTCACAATGGAGACGTTACTGGGCACGCTCAAGCAAAATTGATGAACAACGGGAGGACAGTTTCAGTGACAGTGACTGCAATTTGTGAATTAAGCCATATTCAAGTATGAACCACTTTTGTACTATTGATAGTTGTTAGCATCAGTATGTTAATAAACCAATAAATTCTGAATGTACCTTAATTTTTTTTTTTTAAGATTTGTACACCAATTAGTCTTTAAGGGTCTAAAAAATTTTTTTAGGGTAAATTTATACTGTCATACATTGCATTTACTTAAATTTTCTCTAAATGCTTCCATGTAGCTAGAGCTATTAAAGGGTCTGGAAGCTAAAATAGAGTATAATGAAAGTACTAGTCTGGTTCCTTTGGTACCTATAACATGACTCTTATGTTCACTCGTTCTCATTTCTATTCTAGGTGCTCTATTTTACTAACCTAGTCTGTTAGCATATCCTCAAACTAACAGGCTACGTTAATGTGTTTGGAAGATTCTTCATTCACTGGATATGACAGGCTGTCTGAAAGATCATTCATTGGCAGCAAAGTAACAGAATTAATTTACCCCAATTAAAAAATGATTTGCCATTTGAAGTAGAATAGTTAGCATCATTTTAATAAATTACTTAGCTTAAATTAGCACAAAAAGAAAATATGGCTCTATTTTAAAGAGAAATAATGAAAATCATATTGAACATTAGTACATCTATGTAAAAAAATGTTTTTAAAAAACCAATTAAAAGACCAAAAAAATGCAAGTCCTTATTCTTACCATCTGTCCCAGTAATATGGCAGACATTTTCTGCTTCTTTTAAGCTTCTGATGTCCCCATTAGCAATTACAGGTATAGACATGTTTTCCTTAATTATTTTAATGGCCTCATAGTGAACTGGCTGATGTCTTTCTTCAACAGTTCTCCCATGAACTGCAATCCAGGAAACTCCTGTTGCTTCAGCCTTTCGACAAAGATCTATAGTTCTTCTAAGATCATCATGGATCCTGTAATTTCAAAATAATGTTTTTTTTTACAGAACATAAATTCTGATACTAAAATAAGCTAGATGGTATTTTATCAAGTACATTATTCAGTTAACTTTATTGTATTATTAGTTCTTGTCACAGCATGTCACTATTAGTAGCTTTGTTCAGGGATCAGCGGGGTTTTTTTTTGGTGGGGGTGGCTACACTAGGTGGTGTCCAGGGCCATTGACTTTGGCTCTGCGTTCAAGGATCACTCCTGGTGGTGCATAGTTGGCCAGATGCAAGGCCTTACCCCTTGCCCCCGTACTCTCTCTCTCTTCAGTCCAAGTAATCAGTTCTTATTTAAGATACTAAATTTAGCTATTACACTATGCAAGAATAGGACAAGCAAGTTTTATTTTATCTAGATCTTCCCTTTGGACTTTGATAACTGAAAAGATCATTGAAATACTGTCAGAGAAGAATCCAAAGATAATATCCTAATATTTGCCATGTGCACCCCAATTAGCAAGTGGGGGAATATAATCCTCTGTAATTCTGATTTCCATTTCCATTTTTAGATTTGAGTACCTGTATCATTCTTGCTTTCTTTGGATGCACCAGCAATGTTTCTTAGCGTTAAATAGTATATAGAAAAAGTAGAAGGTTTCTTTTGGGCAAAATTTTTTTAATAATAAAGGGTTTTTAAAATTTTTGCCTAAGTGGGGCCAGAGAAGTAGTATAGTAGGTACAGCACTTGCTTGGCTGACCTGGATTTGATACCCAGCATCCTTTATGGTCCTTGAGCATGGAATCTCGTATGTTCCCCTGAACATGTTCAGGAGTTATCCCTGAGCCTAAGCACAACCAGATATGGCACAAAATCAAGCAAATACAAAAGGAAATTGTGGATTACAGAAAGTATGGTAAATTCTCACTGAATATCTTATTTCTACACTTTAATATATCAACTTATTGTGTAGATATATTCTACACAATAAGAAAAATCTTTGATTCTTTTAAAAAAAAAGTAATTGACCAGCTTGTCAACAGATTAAAATATTATCCTTACCTTATTTTAATAGATACTGAAAATCCAGGATTTTCCACTTGATTTCTTACTTGTTTTACCATGTCACGAATAAGCTCTGGCTTGTTTATTAAGCAAGCTCCATAACCTTCTGTCATTGCCCACCTTTGTAAAGCAAAGGTGACAAAAAATAAACTGGTCAATAACTGGAAGAGAAGACACAATTCTAAAAGCATTATAAATCCACATCTATGTATATTATTATCTAGCTATCTGGGACAGAATCAGACCTTTTCAAATTTATAAATGCAAGATTTTTAAGTGGATCAATATTAGATTAGGAAAATATGTTCTCAGATCAAAAAATTCAAGGAAAACGGTTTTCCCTCGCAAGTGAGAAAGTTAAAATTCATTAAACTGAAACACGATTTAAGCATTTATAGTTAATTGCAATTACTTTACATATTTTAAGTTCCTAATTTGATATTTCTAACAAAAGATTTTATAAGTCTTAATAGTAGAAAGATATTTTTGGCACAAGCATTCCATCACCACCAAACAGCTTATTTAATTTTCCTAATGAGTACACAAATATGTCTAATCTGATTTGGATTATGCTGTATTTAAATCTTTTTATACTTTGAACACTTTTTTAAAAAAAATTATTATTACTGTATCACCGTGAGATACACAGTTACAAAGCTGATTGAACAAATTTAAATGACTGACAGATAATCTAGTATAGTGGGGGGAGGATAGGGATAGTATTGTTCAACTAAGTATAGCCTAGCACTTAAGATTCAACCAAATAATCATGATACAGAAATAAAAAGTAATTATAAGGTATAATTAGGAGAAAACAGTATTCTCCCAAATAAAATATAGCAAATATGTATGACTGAGCAATAAAAATATATTTTAGGAACTGTTATACACACAAGAATTATGCCTAATTATTAATGCTGGGGTTCAAGGCAGATTCAGATATGAAAAATTCTAGTGTTTAGATGGCACAAAACACCAAGGGCCTGAACTGCAGCTCAATGGCAAAACACATAATTTACAGGCATTATTCCTGGGTTTGATAGCTAGAACCACGAAACAAAAAACCGAAAACACCAAAAACACATGTCAAGGGTGTATGTATGTATGTATGTGCATATATATATATATATATATATATATATATATCACTGCAATCACCAGAAAATAGCTTGCATTTATGTTCTGTAATTATCTTTCCTTATTTTTCCCTATTTAGTGCCCAGATGCTTGACTTCTATTTTCCTTTTTAATTTTTGGAAAACTCTAAAGCCATTTTACCACATTTGCATAGTTTTTCCCCCTAATATATATATATATATAAAATTTTCTTTTTGGGTCACACCTGGCGGCGATGCACAGGGGTTGTTACTCCTGGTACATGTACTCAGGAATTACTCCTGGCTGTGCTCAGGGAACTATATTGGATGCTGGAAATCGAACCTGGATTGACTGTGTGCAAAGCTAAACACCCTACCCTCTGTGTTATTGTTCCAATCCCTCCCCTAATATTTTTAAAACTTCATCCAACTTCTTTGAGTTTTACCTCTGAGGGCAACCACAGTTAATGTCTATTCCATTTGCATAAGGACAGACTATACGAGCAGCCTCAGATAAAAGTCCTGCATCATTAGCTGCAAACTGAACAATCAGTGGACAATCACCTAATAAGACAAATAGCTCAATATTAGAATTCACAGAAATACACACAAGGTACAAAGCTTTAATATCTGTACAAGATAAAATAACTATTTTTAGTTTAAGAAATAACTTCAAACAATGTTAAGATGATGTAAAATATTCTAAAAGCAATGCACATTTAGTATAAATTAAAACAGTATAAAATTTGATCACATAAAAAATACAACAAACTTTCTTGAGGTGGGTTGTGTGCTTGGGAAGTTCGCAAGTTTTTTTTTTTTTCTTTTTGGGTCACGTAACACCTGGTGATGCACAGGTTACTGGGTTACTCCTGACTCTGCACTCAGTAATTACTCCTGGCGATGCTCAGGGAACCATATGGGATGCTGGGAATCGAACCTGGGTCAGTCACGTGCAAGGCAAATGCCCTATCTTCTATGCTACGTCTCCAGTCCCTCAAGGCTTACTTTTGACTCTGTGCTCTGGGATGCTTGGAGGACTCAGCACTGGGGACTGAATTAGGGTCGGTGGTAAGTACGGCAAGTGCATTAACCCTTATGCTATCTCTTTGGCCATCAACAAACTATTTTGAAAATAGAGGCAACACCTAGCAATTCTAACAGGGTCAGGGCTACTCTTTGTGATTTTCAGCATAGTAGGGTTGGCTTGTTTGTTCAGTGCTCTGGGCCTACCAGGGTCACACTCAGTGGTGAAAGGAAGGAGTGGCCATACAGTGCAAGGAACTGAACTCAGAGTTCCGCAAAAAAGTGTAACACTCTTGACAGATTCCATTCTTAAGAGTGGAATTAATTTACTGTTTGAAGACCATGTTTTAAACAAATCTGTATATTATATTAGAATTGCTGCTTTTTCCTCGCCAGTGTACTTGGGAGCCATACTCAGACTTATTTTCTTTTTCTCGGTGGCACGTTCCACTACGTGAAAGGGTCATACTATGTATTTCTAAATTATTTTTCAACTGTGGCTCTCACAAATGATGCTACAATAAAGAGACTCTTTTTTTTTTCTTTTCTTTTTGGGTCACACCCAGTGATGCTCAAGGGTTACTCCTGGCTCTGCACTGAGGTATTATTCCTGGTGGTACTTGGGGGACCATATGGGATGCCGGGGATTGAACTTAGGTCGACTGTGTGCAAGGCAAATGCCCTACCCGGTCTACTATCGCTCTGGTCCCACAGTTTCATTTTTTTTTTCTTTTTGGGTCACACTTGGCTTTACACTCTGAAATTACTTCCAGCAGTGCTCAGGGGACCATATGGGGTGCCAAGGATTGAACCTGCGTCTACTGCATGCAAGATAAATGCCCTCCCTGCTGTACTATCATACTAGCTCCCTGAAGAGACTCTTGAATGCATGCTTTGGTGAGTATATTCATAGGGCAAATTCCTAGGAGTATGGATGTTAGACAGGAATCTATATTTTGATAGATACTACACAATTTTCCTTGAAGACTTTACCTATAGATATTTATCAATGTAGATGAAAATTCTTTCCTCACAATTTATCTTACATTGCTTACACTATTGTAATAGTGAATATATTTTTATCTATGGGATCTTTATATTCTTCAGGCATACACTATTATAATAGTGAATATATTTTTATCTGTGGGATCTTTCTTCATATTCTTCAGGCATCTTTTTAAATGTGGTTTTTCTTTTAGTTGTCCCTTTAAAATATTTATTTAAAATAATGAAAGTACTTATTATCATATAACTATTATATATTTCATAATAAATATAAAAATTATAAATATTTCCCCAAGCCTTTCAGTATAACTACACTCTTTGATAGAACGTTAATGTTTTAATATAGCCAAATGTACGTTGTTTCCTTATTTGCTTTCTGCCACACCCATTCCCTGTTTTAAGATCTTTTTCTCATCTCTGGCTTATAAAAACTCTGGTTAGATGTGCTTTTAATTTTACTAAAGGTTTTTGAGGACTACCTGTACATTATTATTTACCAAAGTGCAGATACTGGGAAATCATCTAGCTTTAATGCTTTAGAATTTCTATAGGAATCTAGAAATTTACAGGATTGGGGACTGGAGTAGTAGTACAGTGAGTAGAGCATTTGCCTTGTACATAGACAACTCAGGTTTGATACCCAGAATCCCATATGGTCCTCTGAGTGCTGCCAAGAGTAATTCTTTTTTCTTTTTTTCTTTTTGGGTCACACCTGGTAATGCACAGGGCTTACTCCTGGCTCTGCACTCTGCCCGTGGTAACTACTCCTGGCGGTGCTGAGGGGACCTCATGGAATGCTGGAAATTGAACCCGGGTTGGCTGCGTGCAAGGCAAACAATGCCCTACCCGATGTACTATCACTCTAGTCCCAAGAGTAATTCTTACATGTAGAGCCAAGAATAATCCCTGAGCCTCACTGGGTGTTACTCTAAAATTAAAAAAAATAAAAAAGAAATTTATAGGATTATCATGGGATAGAAGTATCAAGAGAATTTTCTTTTTTTCTGATATGAGGTATTTCTCTAATTACTCTGGAGCATAAAATTTGAAGTTAGCAACCATTTGTTCCTTGATGCACTCAACACAGTGCTAGGATATAAATAAGTTAAGGAGAGAAATAAGAAATAACTATAGTTCTCAAGGAGTCTCTAGTCCATTGGGAAAGACAGGCCTATACAGAGGGAATTATAACAGAGCAAGATTAAATAAAATTTGTTCTTAAAGAGATAGATGAATGGAGGATAATCATGAAAGTTCTTTGTACACAAACTTTGAGAGCTACATTTGAAGCATGAGTTGATGTTGTCAGATAGGGCTGAAGGACAGGAGGGCTGATTGGTGTTTCTGAAGAATAAAGTCGGTGGCAAGAAAGTGATGTTACAGAAAATGTATAGAGACAAGGTCTGTTTCCCAAAGTGGGTGATACTCGTCCCTGAGGTGGTGATTTCGTGAGAGCAGCAGTAGTGGCCTAAGATGCAGTTGGTAGGGGTTAGGGGTGGAGGGTGTGTTTCTATGTATTTGCTTAGAAAAGGTAGATTTCCAGTGGGGTGCTGAGTAATTTTCTGAAAAGGGGGCAATAAGTTAAATAACTTTGGGAACCTCTGGAGCAGCTTATGAATAACCATGTATTATTCCCTGTTGCTGAAATTTTACTCTTTAGGTCAATCTCGTGCAAGTTTAAAATCACTATGAGGGTTTTAAATATATAGACCACTGTAGTACAAACTGAGTTCCTGCTACATTGAAATCTGGAGTGGAACCTTGGAATTTTAACTTCTAGTTAAGTTTCCAGGTTCTGGTAATCTGGAAAAACCACACTTTGAGAACCACTGTCAGACAAGGCAATTATAGGTCAAGTTTATAACACAGTAGGAAAGAGAAGTGATTACATGAAAATCTGATAGAGGCCCCTTTGGGTTTGTATGGAGGGTAGTTTGCAATGGGACAAGAGTGGGATATAGTCTAATGGCTCAAAGGAGAGGTTGGAGCCTTAAGGCTGCTGTGATACTTTGTCATGCATTGATTCCAATGCACTAACAAAGAATATACTAAAAAGTAAATAAAAACCTAATAAAAATGAAAAGATTTAAAAATAGAATTTAATTGTATTGTTTCTGAATAGGAAAGATAGGTTGAGGTTTTGTTGTGGGTCATTTCTGGTTTAGTGCTTGATGGATTATGTGGTACTGAGAACTGAACTCTGGGCTTTGACTGAGGGCTCCCACATACACAACATGTGGTACAGTCCTCTGAAACATCTTCCCAGTCCAGGTTTTTTTTTATTTTTTAAAGAATTTATTGTAGAGCTGGAGAGATAGCACAGCGGGTAGGGTGTTTGCCTTGCACGCGGTCGACCCGGGTTCGATTCCCAGTATCCCATATGGTCCCCTGAGCACCGCCAGGAGTAACTCCTGAGTGCAGAGCCAGAAGTAACCCCTGTGCATCACCAGGTGTGACCCAAGAAGCAAAAAAAAAAAAAAAAAAAAAAAAAAAAATTTATTATAAAGTTACTTTGCGTTTCACATACCTTGATTAGTGGTAAATTCACTGTCTCTGGCTTTTATAGATCTGACGAAATCAGCAGCAACTATCATTGGTGTGTAGCACAGATCACAATTGTATTTTCTTACCAAAGTTCTAAAAGCCAACCTGTATGCATATGAAATGTCTATTAGACATTTACAACATACCATCATTATATGGATTTCCAAGCTTGATTTGCTTAGTCATTAAGTATTTATTACAGGGAAGTCCTGGCAATAGGAAGATTGGGTAAATATATTCTTCCTTACTCTCCCTGCTCAGTAATAACTCAAAAGGTTAGAATAGTAAACAAGTTAAAGAACCCTCAAAGGTAGAGAAATAATAACTTTTGGATAATAATAGCTCTAGTTCAGCCAAATACCAGAAGAAAATCCATGGCTCCATTTCCACAAGTCAAGGGGGGGTAGTCGATTTTTCACCTATACAAAGCTGTAACAAAGTTCTCCACAATCACGTCAGACCAGGAAGTCAGGACACTAAGCCATGCTGGACACTAATCAGCTCTTCGTGGGTGGTATCAGTGGAGATCCTGTGGGGAAATGGTTTTCTGTGTCTGACAAACATCGAGGTGCTCCTTTCCTCCAATGGGGGTCAAATCAGATGCTTAGCTAAAAGGGAGGTCTTTAATCACTGCCCAGGAATTACCAGGCTACCACTCCATGGACAGTTAAATGCTTGCCCCAGCTTAGCAGGAATGAGGAGCCCTTTGCACCAATGGGGAAACAAAGAAACCAAGTGGAAAACCTTGATTTCTGCCTGCATCTGAGAGTAATGTGCAGGAGTCTTTTCATTAGTCTGCTATAGTGGTACTATTAAAAGCCAGTTAAAACAGAAATTGGGTATTCAAAATCAATTAATGGACTAAACCACAATATTAACAGGCTAAAGAAGAAAAAAAATCACATGAATTTATAACTTGACACTGTAAATCTTTGACAAACTTGTTTCATTTTTGAGGCTATATGCACTGGTGCTCAGGGAGCACCTACTGGTGGTGCTTGGGGCCAGGGATTTGGACCAAGGCCTGCATATAAGCACCTTATTCACTTATTCTCTCTCCAGTGCCATAAAGCTTACGATTTTAAAAAAGGTTAAAGGTCAAAGACAGAACACCAAGTGAACATCTTCCTAGATCAGAAAATAGGGCAAAAATGTCTCTTCCCATCAGTCTTTAATTAAAACCATGTTTAGAAACCTCATGTCAAGTGCAGTAAGGCATACATGAAAGGTATGTGATAAATAAAATCTGTATTTGTAGATAACACGATTATTTATGTAGAAAATTCTAAGAATTTACAAAAAAAAAACCCCCTAACTTTAACAGGTTTATTATCTTGGGAATAGTGATTTTCTTCTCAGTTTCTCTGAATACTAAATGTATGGTATTATGGTAATTTAAAAAGGAGAAATAATTGGGTATAAGTCTTGGAGAATATAAAGACCTAGTACACTGAAAACTGTATAATAATTAAGAAAGAAAACCAAGATCTACCAGAATATTAAGGGGTGTGGGGTTTAGTGGGGAAGTGGAGGACTAAAAGTGACACTGGGATAGTGGTGGAAGGTCTTGGGCACTTTGGTGGTGGTATTAGCTGTAACTTTGTACATCAAAAGCATAAGCATTAATAATATTGTAATCATGTTATCTCAACTACAATAAAATAAAATTGGGGCGGGGGGGAAAGAGGATATTCTGATCCAAGAAACAAAAGGGAACCTTAAGCTATGAGGCTAAATGATAAAAAAAATTAAATAAAAAATGAAGGAATCTGGGGTCACTACGATTGTACTATTGGTTCCTATAATGTCATGTTCAGAGAGCAGTGTTCCTTCAAATGGGTGACACAGCTTCTGGGAGTGCTGATAACGAGTGGATGGAGAGGACTCTGTGCAATTAGGAGCAACTTTCTGTTTGTTCTTTAAAGGAGGTAGATTTTCAGGGGGTGGGGCACTGAATTTTTTCTTGGAAAGGGGGCATTATGTCATACATTTGGGCACCTTTGTCAGGGTGAGGCAGGGAGATGATGGACAGATGTTGATGGCCAGGGGTTGAATGTTGAGAATGGGGAGTCACTGTTTACTGGATACTGAGTTTCAGCTTAGTATAATAAGTTTTAGAAGTTGGGTGTAAAGTAATATAAACATACTTAACATACTTAAAACCAATGATCTTAAAAATGGTAACTTTCAGATTGTTTTGAGAAAATATTGAAAAAAATGTTGTAAAAGACTCAAATAATGAAATAATTAGAATATGAGCAAATGACAAGTATTTAATAGAGATGACAAGATCATGGAAAGATATTCAACATTTCTGAATCCTTTAAATAATAAATAACAAAATATCACATCTATCAGAATAGCTTAAAAATGACATTATCAAAAATTGGTGAGATCCTTTAGAATCTGGTAGGGGTAAATGATAGAGCCACTATGAACGTTTAGCACTTTATTTAAAATTTTTTTATATTTGAAGCTGCACTCAGCTGTGCTCAGGGGCCACTCCTGACTCTGGGCTCAGGAGGAACCCCAGGCAGTGCTTGGGGAAACATATGTGGTGCCAGGATTTGAACCGGTTTTCTCCACATGCAAGGTGCCTTAACTAACCTCTGGTAATTAATAAAATCACTCCCCATGAATATGGATTTCAAATCTGAAGTTTGCTTAGAGAAAAGGTACCATCTCTTTGGCCCCATGTTTCTTAAAGCACAACTAGCATACAATCTAGCATTTGTAGTCCTGGGAATTTGTAGCAGATAGTTATATTCACACTAAACCTGTGCACAAATGTTTATATGTAATACCTTTATTAGGGATTGACAAGTTCTTTTGTTCTAGAGATACAAAAACTGAAGCTTGGAGATTGTTTATTCTAGACAGAGTAGGCAAATGCTAGCTCTAGGACTAAGCCTAGATAGCAATTCCAATTAAAGATTCCAAGGTGGCAGTTTTTTTTTTTTTTATCTTTTTACACCTGTGAACCAGCAGGGTCTGGCAGTTAAAGACCCCTGCTTTAAAGCATACAAAGGAAATCACATCCAAGCTCATTTATCACTTAACAATACTTACTTTGAATATCGAACCATTGGGGCACAGACTTTTACCAGCTGTCCAGAATGAAACATTTCTACTGGGTCTTTTTTTCTTTCTTGACATATTGTGGTTTGAATATAATCACTCTCCATGAATATAGATTGATTTCAAATCTGAAAACAACAATCAGTTTGCTTAGAGAAAAGATACTTTTCACTACATGAATTCCCAGTATTTTAGCCATTTCTCTTGCCAAGAACACAAATTTTGTCAGTTCTATGGGCTTAGGCATCTTTTCAGCTTCTAAAGTTATCAAATAGGATACTACAGAATGTTGCCTAAGTTACTGACAGTCCTTACATAACTGTAATATTATGTAGAAATTATGCTTAGGTTCAACACTAACAGTTTAAACTTTTACACTAACATTTCCTGTTCCTCTTAACTGATGAATGCTTAAGATGTGGGAAATGGTAAGGCTTCCTCTTAGTATACCATGTTATTTTTCATGTCTTTAAAATTTTCATGTTACTTTTACTTGGTATTGATAAAGAAATTCCATTTGAATAATTTACTATGTAATACTGTAAATTCAAGACAACTGGAAGTATCCAGTTAAAATCCAGTATTTTATGTAAGAAAGTTAATGGCATTAATGTAACTTTAAGTATCATGTTTCACAATATTTACCTGAATGTTTAATGCTTAACCATATTTTCAAACTCTATTCTTTGTACTTGTGAATCAGAAGACCTTAATCATTATTTTAAAAATTAAGCAGAGGCCATTGCAACAGTACAGTAGGTAGGGCACTTGCCTTGCATGCAGCTGACCCAGGTTCAATTCCCGGCATCCCTCAAGGTCCCCTGAGCACAGCCATGATTAAATTCCTGAGTGCAGAGCCAGGAGTGACTCCTGAGCACTGCTGGGTGGCCCATCCCCCGCCCATCCCTCATCCCAATAAAAAACAAAGTAAGAAAATATAAAAAAATAAAACATTAGAGCTGGAGAGAGTACAGCGGGTAAGGCACTTGTGTTGCACGTGGCCGACCTGGATTTGGTCCCGAGCACCGCCAGGAGTGATTGTGTGCAGAGCCTGGAGTAAGCCCTGAGCACCACCGGGTGTAGTATTGTGGGTAGGGTGCTTGCCTTGCAAGCAGCAGACCCAGGTTTGATCCCCGGCACCCCATATGGTTCCCGCCAGGAGTCCCGCCAGGAGTGATCCCTGAGTGCAGAGCCAGAGTAAGCCCTGAGCATAGCTGGGTGTGGCCCAAAAACAAAATATTAAAAAAAGAGAAAAAAACAACATAAGTGTTGTCTAATAAAAATCTTGTAGTAATATAATTGCATAGTATATCTATGCCAACGCCAACAGGTTCATCTGATAAAATTTGGTAGTTCTGTGTTACACTTAAAATGCTATCACTTCATTGCACACTTTGCAAAGGTGAGTGGGTGGAGATAGTACAGAGGGCAGGGCACTTGCCTGGTACACAGGTGACCCGGTTCCATCCTGGGCCCCCCATATGTTCCCCTGAGCCCCACCGGGAGTGATCCCTGAGTGCAGACCCAGAATAAGGCCTGAGCACCTCTGGCTGTGGCCAGAAAACAAAACAAAACAAAACAAAAACAAAACAAAAAAAAAGACAAAAAATGAGCCAACACTAGAAAGATCTAGTTGTTCAACATGCTATTTTTTATTGGGTCACTCCAGAAAGTACTGATATAATATAAATATAAACCAGTAATTTAAATCTTAAGTAGAATGTACAAACAGAGTAAGATGAACTAGTTTTACTCTCTAGTCAATCAGATACATAGGTTCACATACTTATTTGGCCTACCACCCCCCCTTCTCAGAGAAACAAAAAGAACAAAAACATTCAGGTCCCCTCCAGAAATCTACCTTCTTTTTGAGAACAGAAAGCACCTCGCAATTGCAAACCGAGGCTACTACTGTCCCCCTGGATCATCCAGTTCCCCTCAGGGGTGGTATTGCCCACTTTGAGAAACACTGGTCTGATAATAAAAATTTAGACAAAGTTACTAGCTTATCTCTCTCTTTTCTTAAACCGTACATCCTTAAGTCATAAAGAAGTATCAAAATTAAAAGCAAAAATTACAGGGTAAGACTTAACATAACTACTAGGAGCATCAAAGGAAGTGAAAATGGGACTAGGCGCAGGGCAATATGAATGAATGAACATGGGAAGGTCGAGGATGGGGCGAACAGTGAGCATGTGCTAAAGATACTAGGGGAGAGGAACTGGTGAAAACTTTGATCTTAGACAAGCGCCTAGATAAAGAAATAATGGGACAAGATTTCTAAACTTAAGAGTCATCCTCTCCTTCCTCAGCCTCTTTTTCATCATCCTTGACCAACTCCAGCTGGTCTTCTCCCCTTTCTTCATTATCATCATCATCCAGTAGATCTCCCTCTTCAGCAAGGTCATCTGCACCTCCTTCGGACTCCATCTTCACATTAGTCTCCTCTTTCTTCACGGAGCTGCCACTCTGCTCTTCCTCTGGCTTATCATTCTTCATCTCCGCTGCTTGTTTGCTTTGCTCCTTTTCAAGCTTCTCCAGGTTTACCAGCAGAGAATCTACTTTTTGTTTTATCTGGGTCAAAACCTTCTTAATGGCCTGAATGTTATCTCCTTTCAACTTTCCAGACTTGGAAGATCCTCGCTGCCTACTCTTAGAATTGAAACCACTCTTGCCCCTTCGCGAGGGGTTTCCTGAAACGCGTTGGCGTTTTGAGGGCACCACAGCCCGAGCAATAGGAGGCGGTGGAGGGACACGTGCCGGATAACCGTACATCCGGTCATAATAATCACGTTGAAAGTCATAGTCCAAACCAAAAGAGGAGCCGTACATCTCCGCTGCAGATCGCTTCACACCGGCTTTTCCTCGGTTTAGTTTGGGCTCCGCCGCCAGATTGATGTCTAAAACCTGGCCTGCGATCATTCTGCCATCCTCTCCCGCCACCGCTGCTCGGGCATTTCTCTCATTAACATATTGAACAAAGGCAAAGCCCTTATGAACAGAGCAGCCCACGATTTTGCCATACTTGGAGAAGATCGCCTCCACATCAGACTTCTTGACCACCAGTGTATTCAGGTTCCCAATGAATACACGGGAGTTCATGGAGCGAGGGTCTGTCTTGTTGGTAACATTGCTGGCCATTGTCTTTGATGATTTGGTTTCTCACAAAGTCCAAAAAAATGTGGCTGAGGATCAAAAAAAAAAATTTCACAAGGGAAGGAGAGATTTGAATTTACTCTCCTATTCCCAGGTTCTATGTGGAGCAGTGGAAAAGTTGGCTGCTGCTTGGGTCGGCAATGCTGTCACAACGGCTCAGTCTTCGTCTCTTCACAAAATTATTTCTTTTTTAAGATGAAAATTCATGACTAGAAAGATGTAAGCCACCTACACAGGTAAAATAGAAACAAGAAGAAGATAGTTTCCTTTTCATAAGTCCTACATTTCATAACCTGGTTATGCTGTACCATCACCCCCTATTCTACTTACTCAAAGCCAGAAATCTGGGGGCATTCTCCACCTCACACAATTGTTGTCAACCCAGGGGTACCTTTAAAACTAAAACATAGTTTCACTGCCTTATAGCTTTTATACTCACAACCCCCATCTTGATTACTCTAACAGTCTTCTCTAAATCCCAGATAGATCTTATTTACCCAGCAAAGCTGAGCAATGTCTATCATGGAAATTCACAACTACTTTTTGAAAGAATGTAACAAGTCTGTTTCTTCCTGAGTTTTTAAAATCATGGATTTGTACTGGTTCACTTAAAAAATGTATCAGATACGGTCACTCAGACAAAACAATTGCTCTAATAATTAGAACCAAATTTAAGCACTGTGGAAATAACTAAGTAAGGGAAGTCATCAACAATGGGAGGTGGAAAAAAGTTTTGAGCTGCACACTAGGAGACAAGGGTATGTCCAAACACAGAAAACAAGACACACTAAGCCAAAAGCATGAAAATGTTTTCAACAAACTACTTGTGGTTCATTATTGTTTGATTCCTGACTAGGGATCTAGATAGCAAATAGGCCTATATATTTGTTTAATAATTTACAGGTTTTATACTGTCTGATCTAGACTATTAACCGTTTTCCCTCCTTTGCGGGTCAATTTTACAGTGAATTTGTTCTATGATGCACTTCAATGGGTGTGTAAAATCTATGTTTTTAATATATACTAGTAGTTATAGTATGGGACTATTTAGTGGGAAATTTATTTTTGACTTAAGAGATCACTAGAATGCATTCAGTTTTTGACAAAATATCAGTTAGGAGGCCATCGGAGACCAGGACACGTGTACCAGTGTCAGACCCTGAACTCTGCAGAGGACAGAGAAAGGGATTATTATTTTCAAGTTATTTAGAATAAGCTGGGGAGTGCTTTAGGAAATAAAAATCATTTGATGATAGTACGTGTTATCTAGTACAGTTAAAATTTTAGATAATGTGCAGTTTTGGCTATAGCCACTGGGTCCAAACATGGCACTCCCATGTTTGGAGTGAAAACAGAGAGGGAGCAATTAATAGGTATTGACAGGGAAAGATAAACAGGTAAACACATTTGGGTACACAGAACTTGAGTCACTAATAGGTCTGACAAGTGGTGATGCTTCAAAATTGTTTATATAGACTTGATACTCAGGAAATAGCTGGAGATTTGGATTGAGAAACTTTAGCCTTAGGCATTAAGCTGAACCAAAAAAATGGATTAGAGATGCCACGTGTTGCAAAAAATTCTTAAAACCACTAATATTTAAGTAAAAGTGGTGGGGTGGAGGGTGGAAATTGAAGATAGCGAACTCTGGAGCAGGGAAAAATAAACTTAAAGAATGATGGGGGGAGGGGGGAAGGAGGGAGAGGTATTAGGAAAGGAAGAGGGTAAACATCTTCAACATCACAGGAAAGTTACTTAGGTAAGGTATAATCTAAAAAGTATACAAAGGCAGTTAACTAGGTTAATGACTTGAACAAGAACAATTTCACTCTTATTTTTAATGGTCCAGTTCATTGCATAAGGACGTCCCTGCTTGGGTATGTTTGCTGAAGAAACAAATCAGCAATTCTCAACCTTAGAACGATCCAGTAATGCTCAAACCATACTCCAGATAATTAAATTTTCATCTCGGGACAGGATACAAACTCCAATGGCTTTTAAAGCCTGTAGGTTACTTCAATGTGTAGCAAAGATTAGGGAATAAATAAATCCATTCACTTAAAAGCACCTGGTTTGCAAAGCAATTGTTGGCTGGGTTTCTACCTTGCCTATTAGCTCCTTCAGGGAAGGATAGAATTTGAGGCTGACTCTGGTAAACTCATGCTGGTATGTCTAGCAGTCTCACAGTTTCATTGCAGCACACTGCAATTTTTCTAAAATCTTCCATTGCAAAAATAATAAAAACCGAAAATGAAAGTTTATTATTGCTATAGCTAATGAAACTTAAAAAGAGTCTGAACACTGGGCCTAGTCCGATTTGGGCGATCTCCACTCAGATCAATCCTATTTACTCCATGATTGAGAGCAAACAATACTAGGGAAAGAGCTCTGAGACAAAGAGAAAGCACAATGAAGAGGACCAGGAAACTTGGTCTCGTGAGTTGCTATGACTATCAAATGTGCTTAGATTTATAAAGAAACTATTTTTCTTTATCTATAAAAACAAAGTACAGTCTTTACCACAGGGCATTTATTATGGCGCCGTCTTGAAATACAGTTAGGCAGAATGAAAGGAACCACGTAGCTCCGAAACTGGGAAAAACTGGTTTCCTGCGTACCCAGCTACGGTGCATAACGGAAGGGGGGGGGGGAAAAAACCAAAACCTCAACTACATCAGTTTTCCTTTTGCGAAGAAAATAAAAAAAAAAAAATCTTGCCCCTGTGTGGCTGGCCTGTTAATTTTTACGTCTTTTAATCTCGGGAGAAATCTCTTGTGAATCAGGCAGGTTTCACGGCCGACTGTACAATGAGGCGTAACCTGATGATTTAAAAAAAAATTTTTTTTTTTACAGCTTTAATGCTGCAACGTTGAAATATGGAAAATCCATCGGCTTTTAAAAAAGAGAGAAAAAAAATGGGGGGGGAGGAAAAGAGGGAGGGGGGGTCGCCACACATAGCACGTGGCTGAAAACGCGAAGAAACGGCAGATTTAAAAAAAAAAAAAGCGTAAGGTCACGTCCCGCGGCCGGCAGGGCTCCCCCCCGCTCGTCTTTCCCTGCTCCGTCTTCCTTCCCCGGCTCTCTAGGCTCTCCTCATTGTCCCCGCGAGCCCTAGCAACTTTCCTTCCCCAGCGTTTCCCGCCAGCCTTCCCCGCCCCCCCCCCACGATGGCGAACCCGTGTGTGTGTGTGTGTGTGTGTCTGTGTGCGTGTGTGGTTTTGTGTGTGTGTGTGTGTGTGTGTGTGTGTGTGTGTGTGTGAGGAAGCTCCCAGAAACCTCTGCTCGCTCTCCATTACGGCCTCCGCCCAGAGGCCCCGCTGGTCGGGTTGAAATACTTGCTTTAAAGTTAATCGCGGCGGCTCCCTCACGCGTCCACCTTCTCTTCGGCCGGGGGGGCGCGGGGGGCGCACGAGTCCAGGGCCGCGAAGACGACGGAAAACGCTGGCCCCAAAAGGCCTCGGCTTTCCTAGCGCGCCTTCGAAGGCCGCCAACGCCGGAAACCACGCAGTTGCAGACGTGCTCGGCCGAGCGGCGGCGACGACGACGACGACGACGACGACGACGGCAGCGGCGGCGGCAGCGGCGGCGGAACCGACACTCGGGGGCGGGCCGGGAGCTGCGACTAAGGGCGGAGCGGGCGGCGCCGGGATTAGACGTCATCGCGGGGGGGGCGGGGCGGAGCTGCGGCTGACGCCATCCTCGCCGGCACCTGCCACCATGGAAGGTGGCCGCGGCGGCGTCGCTGGCGCCGATCACGGGGCTCTGGGCTCCGGAGCGGCTGCCGCGACTGTCCGGGAGCTTCTGCAGGACGGTAAGGAGCCGAGGTCTGGTCGCACCGTGGCGCAGGGTGGACTGTCCTGCTTCGCAAGTAGGCCCGGGGAGTGGACTCAACCCGCCGCTTTGCAGAAAGTTTTCCCTTCTTGGCGTGACCACTCCCCTCAGCCCGGCCCCCCTTGCGTCTCGGCGCCGTCGCTCGCCAACCTGTTTCCCCCAGGGACTTGCCTTCCCTCTCGACTTCTTGGGGGCCGCCGATCTCGTCTTGCTCACCCTTCATTTCAGCTCTCGCTTAGGTCCCCCCCAACCCTCTCACATCCCCCGGTTCCCCGACACTCAGTGATCGTGTTGGTTTGCAGCCAGATCCCGCCGGCGGCTGCCGCAGTCCTCCAGCGAGTGAAGCGTTTGATCCTAGCGAGGATCCATGGCAGACCGCTTTAGAGGCCCGCATTGTTGGTGGAGTTGGGAGCCTCGCCTCTGTTGGTTTCCTAGAACACCCCGATCGCCCCCACTCGCTCCATTTCCTTTCTTATTTATCCACCATCGTGCACGGGGAAGGAGGGGCTGGAGCATCCCTGCAAACTGGGATTAATCTTTTATACTGATAGTCGGCTTTATTGAAAGCTTTGGAAAGAACTTGCCAGAAATAAGATAATACTTATATATGTGTATGTATATATATATATACACACACACATATATAAAACGTCCAAGAAACACATTACATTGTAATACAATTATGTTGTAATTGTACTAAGTGGTCGTGCTCCACGTCGCTTATCCTTTGGAATATAGTTCACAGGTATTCACAGCTTAGACTTTTCCATACTGCAGTGTACGAACCTCTTTTTTTTTTTTCTGTTCCACTGTGTTAATGACAGTACCCAGCGTATAGTAGGTGCAGAATAAGTATTTAAAATATTGAACAGCAAAAAGCCATATACCCATTTATAGGCCAGAGTAGGTTTTGTGAATGAAATAAAGTTCTGAGTTACTGTTTTTCTCTATTCTTTATTCCTGTCCTTTATTATTTTCTCCTGATGATTTACATACTTTTGTCAAAACATACGTAAAACATAATGAGGTTTTCTGAACTTGATTTTGTTAGTTTTTCATAGTGTCTTCATTAAAACTCAGTTTTGAATATTTGATACTTTTGCTATGACTGCTATTTTAATTGGGTATATATCCCATTGGGCTTTAAAGCTAGTATAGTATTGTTAGGTAATAAGAGAATTGTGTGTCCAGTGAAAAATAATGGAAAAATAACTTGGTTAGGGGCATGTCAGAAAAGGCTTCTAGATGGAGCTAGAATTCTCTCTCTCTCTCTCTCTCTCCTTCCTTCCTTCCTTCCTTCCTTCCTCCCTCCTTCCCTCCCTCCCTCCCTCTCCTGCCCTCCCCCTCCCTTCCCTTCCTTCCCTTCCTTTCTTTCCTTCTTTCATTTTTTCCTTATTTTGTTACATTTGGGCCACATCTGGCATGCTCAGGGGTTACTCCTGGCTCTATATTCAGGAATTACTATCTGTGGGCTCAGGGGACCATATGGGATGCTAGGGATGGAATCTGGGTCCACTGCCTGCAAGGCAAGTCCCCAGCTGTACTATTGTTCAGGCCCCTGGAGTTGGTATTTTCTTTTTTTGGGGAGAGGGAGAAGGTTTTGGGTCACACCAAGTGGTGTTCATGGGCTGCTCCTACCTCTGTGCTCAGGGATAATTTAACAGTGCTGGGGATTGAATCAGGGTGGACTGCATGTAAGGCAAGAGTTTTAGCCCCTGTGTTATCTCTAACTTCCTGGAGTTGGATTTGAAGTATAAATGAAACTTACCTGGATAAAGAAGTGGAAAGAAAAACACATGCCAAATATGAAATATATTCCAGAAGGGCACATTCTAGAAAATGTAGCATATTTTTGAAGAATAGCTCATGATTCATATATTTTAGAAAGATATCCCCTTTATTTGTTGGATTGCACACTTGGTTGTGGTGCTTGATGGGGGCTGCACACTTTTGTTGCAGTGATAACACACATCTGGCTATGGTTTACTGAAGATGGCACACTTTTTTGAAGCACCAATGATCCCAGGCAGGAGTGCTGCCACTAGACTGAGACAGCCTCACTTGTTTCATTGATAGCTCTGCGAGGGCTCCTATGACTTTTTGGTGGATAAATCCAACAGACCCTCTTTTTATTTCTGCTAGAGAACCAGCTCCTTTTTTGAAATACTTTGCTCATGTGACCAATGAGTTCCATGCTTTAAGAATATTCTTAATTGTCTAGGTAGTCCTTTCTAGTGTTTTTTGATCACTTTTTTCCCTCATTTTTTGGGGGGGGGAGGAAGAGAGGAGGGGTTCATACCCCTTGATGTTCAGGGCTTACTCCTGGTTCTGTGCTCAGGCATCAATCTTGATGGTGGTCAGGCATCATATGGAGTGCCAGGGATCAAACCTGGGTCAGCTGCATGCAATTCAAGTACCCTACACACTGTATTATCTCTCTGGCTCCTTAATTTTTTTTTAATTCTTTACTGTTTTTCATAAAACTCAGTCTGACTGCATTCATTTCCTCTGTCCATTCCCAGTTATAGATGTTCGCCACCCCCTCCCCTGCTTGGCCTGTGAGCCCTATCTTCATTTTCTTTTTTTTTGACATTCTAAAATTTCTTGCTAAATCATAAGGTCTGTTTCTCCTTATTTTAAAATCACTGTGTAGTCATACAAATACACATAAAAGATCCTTATCTCTCTTCTGAGTTAAGATGTACAGTGTTTTTGGTCTTTTCTATCTTGAAAGTAAACAAGAAGTGCATATGAAAGGCAATATGTGTATCATATGTGTAGATACAGGATCAACATCTAAAGAAGTGAGGTGTATCTTCCCCCCTTTTCCCCGGTGATCCTGTAACCATTAAACTTATGTAGTTTGATGTGTACTTGGTTGCTGTGTAGGTAATGAAGCTGGGTTATATTAATGTTCGTTTTTGTGTGTCCAGTGTCTAGCTTAGTGCCCACTCAATTCTCTGTCACTTAATCCAGAAATTTGGAAATAATATCCACTTCTTGTTTTATCCAATTACTCTTTTATAGCTTATCAATAATGCCTATATATTACCATGTCTGAGACTTTATTAAATGTTCACTCATTGACTTCTTTTTTTTTTCTCTTTTTCCTTTTGGTTTTTGGGAATGGAACGCGAGGCCTAGAAGAAAGCACTCTACCACTGAGCTACTGAGCTCACTCCTAGCTTGGACATTCTTTGTGCCCTGTCTTAAGCCTTCATTATGTCCCTTGGACTGTATTGTAGGAGCTCACTGTTACACAGACATACTCTCTGTCTTTGTTCCATGACCTTGCTGGCAAGCTAGCCCTGATTTTGTAGTGTAGCTGATTCTATGGTGTGAAGACTCTGACCATGGTGAACTTTCAGTTTCTTACCTGCCATGGCAACTCGCCTAAATATTTTTTGAAAAATGACAGTTAGGGACTTGGGATCTAATATGAGCTAGTCCCAGCGTACTCCTGTGTGACTGATTCCTTTTTGATCATCCTCCTTGTTTCTGCCAGAATTGCTGTTCTTTACACAAAGCTGACAGCGCTCCTGCTTGATTTGAAAGCGTCAAATAGTCTGAACACCTTGATATTGTACCAGCTTCTTTTCAAACCGTCCCTCAGTTTTCCTTTGTAAACTTAACTCTTGATTCTTTACCCATCTCCACATGCATATTCTGTGATCCAGACCAGCATTTTTCAGCATGATATGGCTTTCCAGACTCCCATGATATTCCACAGGGGTGGTGATGAAATTGTGTAAATAGGCCAATAGCACAGGACCAATTGGTATGTTGGAGGAGGGCCCAGGAAGGAAGCAAGGTTGGAAGTGGGCCACAGTCCAAAAATAAATAAATAAATAAAATAAAATAAGGTTAAGAAGCCTTGATCTAGACATAGCCTGAAGTAGGGCAATATTGCCCCTGTTTCTTAAAATCTGTGATAGTATTTGTTGCCTCTAAACTGTCATTCTTGGGATAGCATTCTGCATTTGTCTGCCACAGGACCCCTAATTCTGAGAAGTACTTGGCAAACTCGAAAGCATTGTGTTTCTCAGAGTTAAGAGCACTTTACTAGGGCTGAAGCAATAGCACAGCGGTTAGGGCGTTTGCCTTGCACTAGGCCGACCCAGGTTTGATTCCCAGTATCCCATATGGTCCCCTGAGCACCGCCAGGGCTAATTCCTGAGTGCAGAGCCAGGAGTAACCCCTGTGCTTCACCCCCCCCCCCCAAAAAAAAAGAGCACTTTACCATTCTGAGAGTAATTAGGAATATGAATTTTATTTTTTTGGTAGCAGACTAACATTTATTTAATATATAAGTTTATCCAATGCCCTGTGGCGAGGGGCATTGTATAGACCCTTGTTAGGATGTAGCAGTAAACAAAGATTTTGCCCTCATTATGCATATAGTGGATATAGACAGTTGAAGTTCTAAGTACCATATTATTTTTTTTTTCCTCTTGGCTTACTGAAAAATTAGTTTTGAGCAGTGTAGTAGAGTAATTTCAGAACAGTGGTTGGAAACAACTGATTTAGCAAGTGAACTTGCCGCTACACTCTTTGGGTTCAAATCTCAGGCAGTGATGTTGGACATGATGCCTCCTCTGCCTATGTCTGTATCCTCATCTGTGAAATGGGGAAAAGGATGGTACCGCCGGCTTCCACGAAGATTGAATGAGTTGATATGTATATAGTCCTTCCATCAATACCTGGCATAAAGTAAGCTCTCAGTGAATTCATTCTTCTGCTATAATAATAAGTCTTCTGCTATTGCCTTTCCCTTTTCTCATAGAAAACATTTATAGAAGTTCCTAGTGTGTAGAAAGCTCCATATATGCTAATTATGATTATCGTTATTCTTTTGATTAGTATCTATGGTTTGGTGCATGATAATTGATGATGAAGGACTTATTTTCATATCTCCCCCTACCTCTCAGAATGTTACAGTGATTTTTTAAATGAAGACTTTGATGTGAAGACTTACACTTCCCAGTCTATTCATCAAGCTGTTATTGCTGAACAACTCGCAAAACTTGCCCAAGGAATCAGTCAGCTAGATAAAGAACTACATCTACAGGTAATTTAAGTCTTCTGGATCATACAGCAACTTCAAGTAATGTAACATTTACCATTCTTTAATCATTTTTATTTTTTACCAAAATTTATATTATCCTGTGGTATTATATACCATATAGCTTGTTTTTCAGAATATATTTTTCAAAATGTATGTTTGATAAGAATTTTTGTGGAAAAACTAATTATACCCATCCCTTCATAACCTTTTATTTATTTCACTGCCTTAATTCAAGTGAACTGAAAATAAGTGGACAAAGAACAGTGTATTTTTGGTAAAAATAATAGGTAGTGCTATTTTGGAAGTAAGACAATGTTAATAATATTTTTTTTCCTTATGTGGTGTTGATGGCGGTATAGTAACTATCTACATCAAGTACTAAAATTTAAGCATTATTGTGCAGTATTTACTGACAGCTCTTTCTTTGTCTTAATTTTTTTTTTTAACTAAAGCACTTAATTTACAAAGTTATTCACAGTTGAGTTTTAGGAATATAATATTTTAATGGCAATTCCTCCACAAGTGTCAGGTTCCCTCCACCATGTTCCTTCCCCACCCCAACCCCACCCCATCCTGACATGTCAACTTGATAGGCCCATTACAAAGTTTCAGTGGTTGCAGCTTAGATCTCATGTTTTCAGCTTTGTTGTGTCTGTGTTTTGGATATACGGCTACACCAGTCACTCGTGTCACCAGTATAACTGAAGTCCTGATGCCTGTTCACCTATTACTTCTCGTTCTCTTCTTCCTTCCTTGATTTCTTTCCTTCTCCATTTACGTTATTTCTTAAATAGTTTTGACTGTCCCAACTTTGCATTATTCTGTGAGGATGGGAAAATAAGCACATTTCCTGGCTCTTCAAAAACTTACAGAGTAGTGGCAGAAACAAACAATGACATGCAAGTGATACCTGTAAATAGAATTATACAAAGTATGCAGCAAGGAAGAATGTACTTAGCTCTGATTACAGCTCTTAGGGAGTAGCTTTTTGCCATTTGCTAGAACCACCTGAAACTCTTTCTTTTTCGCTTGATAGTTTCCTTCCTGGTTCTGAAGAAATCAATCAGAATTGGAGGTTTAAGGTTAAAAAGGAATAAGCTGTAGATATCCTTAAGGTTGCAGGTTTTGCCTTCCTGAGTGTTCTTGGAAATGTTAGACTCAAATTTTAGTCATAGTAAGAAGAAAATTATTGAGGAGGAGTTAGGTGAGGAAAGTATGACTTACACATTAGTTGTAAGATGTCAGATGGTACTAGAGGTCAGACCTAGGACACATTGTTAAGTTCATTTTCCTCAAATGATCGCATAATTCAGACTTGCCTCAAAACTAATTGTATTATGCCAGTTTTTCCTTTTCTGACCATGTTGCTTGAGGTAATAAAATACTTTAGGACATTCTGTGAAATTGATGCCAACAATTAATTTGCATATTGGTGAACCAGAAAATAGAGCTTTGTCTAGGCATAGGAACATGTTTAATCTTAAAAAAAAATTGTATTTCTTGGGGTTGGAGCAATAGCACTGCGGGTAGGGCGTTTGCCTTGCACGCGGCTGACCCGGGTTCGATTCCTAGCATCCCATATGGTCCCCCGAGCACTGCCAGAAAACAAAACAAAAAAAATTATATTTCTGAAACATGAAGCCAACTTCAATCATGTTCAGTGATGTGCTGGTTGGTGGCTAAGAGAGCAAGTATTTGGAAAAATAAGATGAATTGAGAAAGGAAGAAGGACTAAAATGGTTGAAATGAGTTTAGTTTAGGAAACCATCTTAGCATCAGGGGAAAAAAATGCCACAATTGGGGCTGGAGTGATAATACGGCAGATAGGATGCTTGCCTTGCGTGTGGCTGACTTAGATTCAATCCTCTGCACCCCATATTGTCTTATAGAGCCTACCAGAAGTGATCCCTGAATTCAGAGCCAGAAATAAGCCCTGAGCACTTCTGGGTGTGGCCCAAAAAGAAAGGGGAAAAAAAAAAAGGAATGACACGAGAGGGCCAGAGAGATGCAGGAGTTTATGCATTTACTTGCCTTTGATGTGACAGAGCCTGGTTTGATACCTGGCACTTGGTATTATCCCCTTAGCACTGCCATGATTCACCCCTGAGCACAGAGCCAGGAGTAAAGTCCTGAGAATCATTGAATGCAGCTCCAAAACAAAAAGAGTTGTTCAACCTAAAGCTGCATTCATGTCCCTTCACTGTTTTTGTTGTGCTTTTACTGAACTTCAGCCTACTGTAGTCAGGTGTTCTGTGATCTATCACAGATCTCTCAGCAGACATAAAGGGATGAATTTTTCTGCAGGGCTGGGTAGGTCAGGCCTGGGTGCCCAGCACTTTAGGAGGAGAGTCTCTCTTCCTGCTACTGACTGGCACTTTCTAACCCCCAGACATACTCGAAGAGTGTTTTTCTCTGAATGTGCGAGGAGGAATAGAAATATAATAGGAAGAGTAATTGTAAGTCGGGGAAGAAGAAGCTGCTTCATTGCAGTACCCCTATATTAGTCCTTCTGAGTGGGCCGTGACTTAGGAAAGAATGACTGATAGAGCGCTGCCTGCTCAGTTGACATGCATCCCAGGGATTTCAGTGTTGTGTACTAGCCATCTTGGTCTTGCCTCATGTTTTGGATTGCAGATAGAAATGTACTGGATTTATTACTAGAAGTTTTCCAACAAAAATGACTGCTGCTGCTTCTGGGTATTAATCCATGTCAAATCAATTTGGCTTTCTTTTAATTAATAGATTTTTAGAAGCACTTTTATGATTTTCAGGAAAATTAGCAGAAATGACTGTGTTCTATTTACCACCCATTGCTCTCACCATTTCATGTGCTATCAATATTTTGTGTTGGAGTGGTACTTTTTTTTCCTTTAGCCAGTGGTGCTCAGGGCTTATTCCTAACTCTGCACTCAGGGATCACTCCTGGTGGGGCTTGGTGGGACCATATTGGGTGCCAGGAATTAAAACCCAAGTCGGCCACGTGCAAGGCACGTGCTGTACCTGCTGTACAATTTCTCCAGCCCCGTGTACATTTTATGAACCCATAATTGACTGATCATTGTCGCTCAGGGCCTGTTCTTTACATTGAAATTTTCTCTTTGTATTGTATATTCGTTGGATTTGGCAGTTGTACAATAACATATTTACCATTACAGTATTATGCCTAAAAGTCACTTATTTCTCATTTATACCTTTCAACTGCAAACACTGATATTTTTTTATTTCCAAAGCCTTTGCTTTTCCCAAAATATCAACATCAGATCATTTGAAGCCTTTTCAGTTCTTTCATAGCAACATATACACATTTCCATTTCCTCCATGCCTTTTCATGGCTTGAGAGCTCATGATTTTTAGTGCTGAAGAATGTTTCATTGCCTGATGCACTACTGGTTTTTTTTTTTTCCCCTTATTCATTCATTGGTCTAGGAATTAGTTATGTATTAGGATTTAGTGTAGGAAACATCACAAATCACAAAATCACAAATCATCCTGTTAACTCGTCGATTGCCTCGAGCAGGCCCCAGTAACGTTTCCTTCATCCTAGCCCTGAGATTATATTCAAGGCTCTTTAGGAGAATGAGACCCATCATTGTTACTGGTATTTGGCATATTGGGTATGCCACGGGGAGTTTGCCAGACTCTGCCGTGTAGGCAGGCTACATGGTAGCTTGCCAGTTTGTCCAAAGTAGGAATAAGATGTCATAATAAGATGTCGCGTGGCCGCGAATGCAGCCGCACGGTTCCGGGAGCTGGTTTTTATAGTCTCTGAGTCTTGGCTGTTGATGGGATTACACGGCGCCAGGGGGCCAGGTGGTGGGTGTGACCCCCGCCTACTGGAATTTGGAGGATCTGGGTGGAGGATGCTCGGCCCCAATCCGAGTAGGCTTCTGGGTATCATTCTGGTATTCAAAGCAGAAGCATATTTAATACAGAATTAGAAGCTTATGGAACCATTGGATGGACAGCCAGTGGGCTGAGTTGAAGGAATTGCTGTATATGCAACACAGAGTTCTGGAAGCTCTTGCCGTTACCTCCTGTGCCACTGCTAAAATTCTGCTTCCATGACAGGGATGGAAAGAAATTGAGGACGGGGGGAGAAAGAAGAGACAGATGGAAGGTACTATACCTACATAACCACAGAGCAAACGGTACTAAACATGAGATTTAACTACTGCCACCATATTCACTTTAGAAGGTGCCTTTTAAGGGGGCAGGTTGTGGGATGGGTGGGAATCTAAATGGAGGAAAGCCAACCCTGGTGGTGGCACTGGTGTTGGAACATTATATGCCTGAATAACTCTGCAAATGACAGTGCCTTTATTAAAAAATAAATAAAATTCTGCTTCTGGCAATGAAACTCTGGAATTGCCAAAATGGCTTTTTCAGCTATCTCTCAGTCCTCAGATCTCAGAACCTTGTTCTAGTCTCTCTTTAAAATTTTGTGAAAATTTATCCAGTAGATTGCAAGGGGAGTCGTGAAAGTTTTAGACTTTTCAGAGCTGGAATGGTAGTGCAGTGGATAAGATCTTTGCCTTGCTTGAGGCTGACCCAGGTTGTCCCTCCAGTCCCCCCGGCTGTGATCCCCCTCCCCCCAGACATTTCAACTTTTCTAAAGTTTATTTTCACAAGGACAAAGAAACTAGAGTATTTAGAGAAAATAGTCAAATTAGGGTGAACCCATATATGATACACAGTTTATCAATAGATTGGGAAAATTCAGATATATTTCTGACATTGTTAAAGGTAAAAGACAGGGCGGCAAAAATAGCACATATTTACAAGGATATGATAGAGACTTGTAGAATGACAATGATATCTAAAAGAACATGGTGGAGGATGGAGGGGTTTCAGGGAATGATTCGGAGCTGACTCTGTGCTGTTCACTCATCAGAAATGAAGGATAAAAAATTATAAGGAGGGGCTGGAGCAATAGTACAACTGGTAGGATGGCTGCCTCTTACCCCAGCCGAGGTTTGATTCTTGCATCCCATATGGTCCTCTGTGCCCTGCCAGGATTGATTCCTCAGTGCAGAGCCAGGAGTAACCCCTGAGCATTGCTGGGTGTGGTCCAAAACAAAACAAAGCAAGAAGGAATTTGCTTGTTTGTTTTTAGAGGGGGCCCCCACACTGCTCCTGGTAGTGGCTGGGGGACCAAACAGTGCCAGCATCCACCCTCGATCTCCTAACTGCACTCAGTCCATTGAGGCATCTCTCAGGCCCTAGGACTCCTGCATTATTCTAAATATGGATTCAATTTCTTAACGTTACTACGAGTCTCTTGAATGTGGCTTTAACTCTTCTTTTTATGGGTCACACCAAGGTTGTTCAGGGCTGCTCTGTGGTGTTGGGGGTCTCGCTGAGGCTCAGGGACCACGCCGTGATAAAATCCAGATCTGGACTGACTTATTTATTTTTTGTTTATTTGTTTGGTTTTGGGCCACTCCTGGCAGTGCTCAGGGGTTACTCCTGGCTTTCATGGTCTGTTACTGTTGTCCAATTGTTATTCCCTTATTATGTTTCCTTTTATTTCACATGTGAGAGAGTTCATCCTATATTTTGGACTTGAACCCTTTTAACAGTTTAAAAATTTCTTACTGTATAAATGGGAAGCAGAAAATTTCAGGGATAGGTGGGACTCCACTTGGTCTTTGCAGATTACATTGTGGCCCCAATTATTTTGAATTCAGTTTAAGAATTAAGAGAACTTGATGTTGGAAGACATTTTTTGAAGGGAAGTGTGTGAAACGAAGTTAACCTTTTTTTTTTCTCCTAAAGTTGACATATCTGCACTAGCATACCTCATTAGTAAGGCTCAGGAGTCAGTGGAAAGACCAGATCCTTTGTCTTTGTGTTGAACTTTTAGATGTCTATGTTACTGCTAATAACTCATCTCAAATGCACCTTTGTAACTGTAACCTTTTCTTTTGTGCTAGTTATTTGCCCCTTTCTGTACTAGAGACTTTCATTTCTACATTTGGTTAAAAAAGATGGAGGGCAGCTTAATATTCAGTTGGAGCAAATGATGATTTGTTCTTGATTTTCAGGTCGTTGCAAGACATGAAGATTTATTGGCACAAGCAACTGGGATTGAGTCTTTGGAAGGTATATTTCCACTGGATATTACAAATTAGGGGCTGGAATGTTAGCACAGTGGGCCAGGCGCTTGCCTTGCATGCTGCCCACACAAATTTGATCCCCAATACTATGTGTGACACCTCCCAAGCACAGGCAGGAGTGACCTCTGAGCACAGAGTCAGGAGTAAGCCCTGAGTACACCTGGATGTGTTCTCTCCTTTCCTAAAGAAAAGGATATTACAAATTATGTAGAGCTAGGCCAGAAATGGACAGACTTTCTGTTAGGAATGAGGTGGCAAAGGATCTGATGGTAAGGATCAGAACTTGCAAACTAGACTTTTATAACTGTTGTAGTTGCTACAGTCTATTATTGTGGAGTGAAAGCAGCCAGATAGTACGTAATTAACTGTGTGGTTAGTGTTCCAGCACAGTTTCATTCATTCTTGATGACTGTGGAATTGAATTCTCAAGGTTGAAATCCTTGCTTTATTAGACGTCTGAATTTGGGCAAGCTACCAAACTTCTCTAGACTTCATTTTTCCTATCTATAAAGTAGGAATATTGATATGCACTGACACGGTTAGGATTGAATGAGTTAGCACATTTCTTAGAACAATGCCTGGTACTTAAGCACATTACTTAGAACAGTGCCTGTATTGCTTCTCTAAATGTTGTTTTAAACAGCAAACATCAACTTCAGTGTACGTAATAGTTAAATTGTTTTTGAATTTGTAATTTTTGCCTTTCTTTGAAACTTTAAAAATTGATAATATAGTAACAGGCTACTTTTATTTTTATGAACCCTCTTAATTTGTTTGCCTAAATCATTTATAAATTTTTAATACTCGGTTAAATTAAGTTCTGTCTTGTAAATATGAAATATTAGTGTAGGGTTTTTCTTTGGGGGAGTCTCAAATAGTGCTCAGAGGACTTGGGGCTATTCCCAGGGATACTCGGCCAATCAGGTCTATAGCTCAATGGAAGGGCCCAAGAATTCAGGTCTGTGGTACTGGAGACCACTAGGGTTCCTTGGTGGTGGTACTCGGGGTCACCAGGTCTATACAAATAGGAAACTTCCGATATTAAATCCTATAAGGAAATGGTGTGAAGGAACGGGAGACCCTTAGTAGCTAGAATGATCTGGAAAGTCTTTTCCAGGAAATGGCAGCGGGGTTGAGGTTTGTATAAAGGGAAAGAGTCACCCTATGAAGATCTAAGAAGAGATTTGTAAGTTGAGGGGTCAATAATAGGAAGGCAGAAAGCAGATGGGAATCATTGAGGGGGTATAAAAAGATCAGTGTGACTGGGTTTTAGTGAGAGAGGAAGAATTGTAGACAATTCTTGGAAAGGGGGTTTGATTGCATTTTAAATGCAAGTATAAGCTGTTAGAGCATTTTAATTAGGGATTTTATATGATAAGATGACTGCTGTAAAAGAGTTTATCCCAATGGCTCTCTAGGAAGGCAAAAGGCAAAAGTAAAATCAGGGGTCCCATTCCAGAAGCTGATCATTAAAAGTTTTTCCCAAATTGGAGGCTGGACAGGGGGGTTGAAGAAAAGAAGGGAAGGAAGAAAGATGAGAGAAAAGTCTGGAAAAATTGGAGAGATGATGGAAAAGAGTATGATTATGATCATAATAGAAATTGTAGGAGGTGGGGTAGAAGTTAACTGTGGCATCTTAAAACTGACAGTGGATAGTTCAGAGCTGGAGATTTTGTGTGTGTAGAGGTGGATATAAAGAAAATATAATATACATATGTGTATATAACTTTAGTGTATATAAAAGTCAGATTTTATTGAGCAGATAGTACTTAAAACACTGATACTGAATTAAATCTCTGAGAAATTATAAGTAGAGAACATGACTGAGGATTAAGTCTGACAGGGGCCAGAGAGATAGTGGAGTGGGTAAGGCCTTGCCTGTGACTGATATGTGTTTGATTTGCATGGTCCTCTGAGCCTGCCAAGAGTGAATCCTGAGCACAGAAGTAGGAGGAAGCCCTGAGCATCACCAGGTGTAGCCCCAAGCCAAGTAAATCATTAAATTATTAATGTCTGTAGCCTTCCCTGCACATAGAGATCCTTAGAGGAGTAGGAATAATGAACAGGATAGGGTAAAGGTAGGAAATGTGATCACTTGAGAATGTTGAGAAAAATCATGTTTTAGCAGGGAGTGACTTAATGAAGTTATGAGTTTGATACTCCCAACAAGATAGAAGACACAACTAAAAACTGGGGAGAGGGCTGGGGTGCACAGTATGAATATAGAAGCTCCTCTTTCAATTCCTTGGACCTCCCCTGAGACTGCTGTGAGTGACCCTCTGGGCTTCTCCCGTATGCTCTTCTATTTATTATCCATCCCCCCCCCCAAAAAAAAGGAACAACTGATAATAGAATTTGGAGATTTCCTTGGCCTATAACAGTGGATTTTTTGCCTGTCAAGATGGCAGATTGGGGCTGGGGTGGGGCAGTAGGAGAGGTAATCTGGGAATACTGGTGTAGGAAAGTTGACACTGGTAGTGGGATCGGTGATGGAATATTGTTGAGAGTGGACTGTGGGGGAAATTTTGTGGGTGGTGGTAATTTTGTGGGCATTTCATTCTTGGAGTTCACTTAAGGTCAGTAAATGATGATAAGACAAGCAGGAAAATAGAAACCCTTGGGTTCAGAGATGATTCTATTAAAATGGGTCTAAAAACATATTTGTATGTTGATATATGAACCTATCTAATATTACTTCATCTACTAATTTGGGAACATTTTATATTTAAATTTATTTAAATACTGTGCTTCCCATAGCACAGCAGGTAGGGCATTTGCCTTGCATGTGGCTGACCCGGGTTCGAGACCTCTGCCCCTCTCAGAGAGCCTGGCAAACTACCAATAGTATCCCGCCTGCATGGCAGATATTCCAAAAACAGTAACAACAAATCTCACAATGGAGACGTTACTGGTGCCCACTCAAGGAAGTCGATGAACAACAGGAGGATAGTGCTACAGTGCAGTGCTTCAAAGTATGACTTGTTTGATTATAAATACTTGAGTTTTAAAGAATGGAGTTCAAAATAATAAAATATATAATATTGGACAGTCTGATTTTAAGCATATGATAGAAAAATTTGGGGCTGGAGTGATATCACAGTGGGTATGGTGTTTGCCTTGCACGCAGCTGACATGGCCGACCGAGTTCCATTCCTCCACCCCTCTCTGAGAGCCCAGCGAGCTACCGAGAGTGTCTTGCCCACAGGGTAGAGCCTGGCAAGCTCCCTGTGGCGTATTTGGTATGCTAAAAACAGTAACAACAAGTCTCACAATGGAGATGCTACTGGTGCCCGCTCGAGCAAATTGACCAACAATAGGAGGACAATGCTACAGCGCTATACTTCTCATGGTGCTTGGGGACCGTATTTGGTGCAGGGATCTGACCTAAGTCATCTATGTGCAAGACAGGAACCGAACCTGCTGTACTACCTTTCCACCCTGCCTCAATTTGAACTTTCAAAGATCATGCTGTCTTCCTTAGGGAATTGCAGTACAGTACCTTTAGCAAATTTTTCATTTTGCCCTGTTCACAATATGTAATTCAGTGAGATTAATCCTATTTACACATTGTGTGAGCATCACCTCTCTAGTTCCAAAACTTTTCACCCCCCCATCTCTTATCAGACATCTTTATTGGTATAAGCATTGAAGGGGCACAAATAGAAGCTTGGATAGTACTACAGGGAAGAGTCACTGGTTGCTTGGATTGATGGTAGGAAGAAAAAATTCGAAATCTCCGTATATAATTTTTGAAATTTTTTACTTTCTTGAGCTTTGTAAATTTGTTAATATATGCTGTCATGTTTTCCTAGGTGTTCTTCAGATGATGCAGACAAGAATTGGGGCTTTACAAGGAGCTGTTGATAGGTACTGTTTGTTCATTTTGTAAATAATTGGAAAGACGATATCCTATGCTATTTTTCTTTTTTCTTTGCTTTTTGGGCCATACTATTTGGGCCATACATTATTCCTGGCTCTGCACTTAGGAATTACTCTTGGCGATGCTTGGGGGTATCAGATGGGATGCCGGAAATTGAACCCAGGTTGGTCATGTGCAAGGCAAGGGCCTATGACTCTGACCTCTATTTTTATTCTCTAATATTTTGAAGATTTTATTATTCCTCTTCTCTTTTTTCCGTCCTTTAGGATGAAAGCAAAAATTGTTGAGCCATACAATAAAATAGTGTCTCGTACTGCACAACTAGCAAGACTTCAGGTAGGTTCTCATTATTTATTTATTTATATTTCATTATTTATTTTATTTTCAAACATGGACAGATTTCAAGAGTATGATTCCTGAGGACATAAGGACATATGAAATAGAAAAGTTAACAGAGTTTTAAAATACCTTATTAAGTAATAGAAATCTAAACTAGTCAAGTGAAAAAACTTTTTTTTGGCTTTTTGGGTCACAACACGTGATGCACAGGGGTTACTCATGGCTCAGCACTCAGAAATTACTCCTGGCATTGCTTGGGGGACCATATGGGATGCCTGGGTTGGCCGTATGCAAAGCAAACACCCTACCTGCTGTACTATCACTCCTGCCCCAACTGAATTGGTTTTTTTTTTTGCAGTATATGATCACTTACTAACTTTGGAGAATTCAAAATTAATTTTTAATAGAGAACAGGAAGAAACCTAATACTTATTTAGCTCACAGTTTACTGTTTCAAATGTAACTTGTTCTATAAGTAAATCTTTATTAGTTGTGAAGCTTATGTGTTATCTAGGAAATTCAGTTTTTGACTAGAGGTTGTGATTTTCTAGTTTTAATAAGATACATGAAACTTAAAATTTTATATTGAAATGTAAATTTTTGTAATGATCAAAAATGAATTGACTATGTTAGATGTATGGGTTTGCCCAGATTTTCCATAAACTTAGGTACTTCTGCTGTGAATTGTATTATTATATACACAGATTTTCCTCATCTTTCGATTATTTTACTGTGAAGTCAAGTTTGCACTGCATTTTTCAAAGGCATAGACAATTTTGGGGTATGTAGCTTTCATGACAGGCTGGAGCGATAGCACAGTGGGTAGGACGTTTGCCTTGCATGTGGCCGACCTGGGTTCAGTTCCTCCGCTCATCTCAGAGAGCCCGGCAAACTACCGAGCGTATCCCGCCTGCATGGCAAAGTATGACAAGCTACCTGTGACGTATTTGATTTGCCAAAAACAGTAACAACAAGTTTCACAGTGGAGACGTTACTGGTGCCCGCTCAAGTAAATCAGTGAACAATGGGAGGACAGTGCTACAGTCTACAGCTTTCATGACACCTTGGGTTTGATCTCCAGCACCAAAAATAGATTCGGCTTTCCAAGTAGTGTTTGGGAGTGTATGGGACCACCCAAGGTTGCCATTGACCTGGATATTGGGGCCTGACAGTTCAGTGCCTGGACCAAGGCTCCAGTGCCACCTGGGGTCACTAGGACCATATATGACCATGCTGAAGGTGGGGAGCTCATGCCAAGCATGCACTTAGGCCCATTCAGCTCTCTCCATGGACCCCTGTTTCATTCTTCTTGTAGTTTTGTTAATACAATCTCATGGTCTGATACCAACTTGTCTTTTTCCCCTTGATTGGTCACGGTCCTCCCGTTGTTCATTGATTTGCTTGAGCGGGCCCAGGAACGTCTCCATCGTGAGACTTGTTGTTACCGTGTTTGGCATATTGAATACGTCATGGGGAGCTTCCCAGGCTTTTCCATGCAGGCGAGATACTCTCGGTAGCTTGCCAGGCTCTCCGAGAGGGGTGGAGGAATCGAACCCGGCTCGACTGGGCCAGCCGCACGCAAGGCAAACACCCTACCCGCTGTGCTGTTGCTCTAGCCCATTTATTAGGGCTGGAGCGATAGCACAGCGGATAAGGCGTTTGCCTTGCATGAGGGCGACATGGCTGACCCGGGTTCGATTCCTCCACCCCTCTCGCAGAGCCCGGCAAGCTACCGAGAGTATCTCGCCCGCACAGAAAAGCCTGGCAAGCTCCTCCTGACGTATTCAATATGCCCAAAATGGTAAAAACAAGTCTCACGATTTGTTGTGATACGTTACTGGTGCCCGCTTGAGCAAATTGATGAACAACGGGAGGACAGTGTTACTATATGTCATTTATTAATAGCACCTTTCTTTCTTCTTGGTCATCTTTTCCATTTTTCCACCAGTTCTCTATCCTTTCCCCATTTGTTTTCTTAATTTCCATTGTTCTGTCTATATTCTTGTTGTGCTGAAACTTACCTACAGTCATTTGATATATGACTATTTCTATACTGCTTACCTTTAATAACGCAGTCTACTTCTACTGTATACTTTTAAATCTGTTGTATACTAGATTTTTGACAATCACTTATAATCACGGTGTATTCCTTTCTTCTTAACCTTATCATATCTTAGTCCCTTCTAGACACAGATAAAAGGCTCTGATGCTGGAGGCATTTTCTCTTGAATAGCTGGTAGAGGAGTAGCAGAGCCAGATTAATGATTATAGTATATTGTGATAAAGATCTTATTAGTGATCGTTAGCAATGTAGTGCCTTTAATGCATTTTTAAATTCTTGAGTATAATACATTGTTTTATAAGTGAAAACATTGAAAGTTTCTATTTTTTTTTTCTTTTTGGGTCACATCTGGCAATGCACAGGAGTTACTCCTGGTTCATGCACTCAGGAATTATTCCTGGCGGTGCTCGGGGGACCATATGGGATGCTGGGAATTGAACCTAGGTTGGCTGCTTGCAAGGCAAACGCCCTACCCACTGTGATATTGCTCCAGCTCCTTGAAAGTTTCCCATCCTGTTACTTTTACCCTTCTTTTTTCCCGTTTTTCTTTTGGGTTTTCTTGGGCTACACCTGGATGTGTTTAGGGGTCACTCCTGATGGTGCCTGGAGAACCATAGGCAGTGCTAGGGATCCAAGTGCGTTGGTCTTGTACGTACACAAGGCCCTAACTCTGTGCTATCTTCTCCAACTCAATTTTTATCTCTTTTTTTTATTGTTACAAAATGTGAATATTATAGCACCACACCTGCCACCAAAGTGCCAGTGTCTTTCTGCTGATGTTGATAGAATCCTTTCCCTCCACCCTCACATTCTTCCTTGATGATCAGTCTGTCTGTCCTCAAAGTGTAAGGATTTGTTTTCATTGAATGTTATCTATTCCCTTACTTTGATTCTTTATATACTTTATGTGAGATCATTCAGCGTTGAATATTTTGTTCCTCTGTTTGTTTTCCTTTCGTGGCTTTTTTTTTTTTTTTTTTTTTTTGCTTTTTGGGTCACACCCGGCGATGCACAGGGGTTACTCCTGGCTCTACACTTAGGAGTTACTCCTGGTGGTGCTCAGGGGACCATATGGGATGCTGGGAATCGAACCCGGGTTGGCCGCGTGCAAGGCAAATGCTGTGCTATCTCTATAGCCCCTCTTGGATTTTTTGATAGAACTTTTTTGCAAGGGGGGTGCACACAGATGCTCACTACTGAGCCTCATCCTTAGTCCTTCCCATCTTAAAAATTTTACTTATTGCTCTGTATCGTATAATGTACATTTTAACTTCTCAGTATATTTCCTAGTGATATTAGGCCACTTAACATACAGAATTTTGAGCAATTAGATTATGGTATGTCAAGGGTTTTTTTTTTGTATGTGTGTGTTTGTGTGTATTATATGTGTGCACACAGATACATGTTTTTATTTGTGCATATGTCTGTGTACATGTGCACACACATGTACATGTTTGCTATTTATTAAACTTCCATTTTAAATTTTTCACCAGATATAGGAAATTTATGCCCTGTATTTCACAAAATATATTTTTTTTGTTCTTCATTATTCTTCAGAGGCTGTAATTATAAATATATTAGGTATTCTATATTATTAGGTATATAAGGTATTTAAGGTCATCGGACACTTTTTTTCTTTTTTTTTTTTAAATTTTATTGAATCACTGTGAGATAGTTACAATCTTTCATGGCTTTCATGTTTGGGTTACAATCACACAATGATCAAACACCCATCCCTCCACCAGCACATTCCCCATCACCAATATCCCCAGTTTAACTCCCCTTTCCCACTCTCCCTGCCTCCATGGCAGACAATATTCCCCATACTCTCTCTCTACTTTTGGGCATTATGGTTTGCATTGCAGTTACTGAGAGGTTATCATGTTTGGTCCATTATCTACTTTCAGCACACATCTCCCATCCTGACTGGTTCCTCCAGCCATCATTTTCTTAGTGATCCCTTTTCTATTCCAGCTGCCTTCTTACCTTTGCTCATGAGGAAGGCTTCCAGCTGTGGAGTAATATTCCTGTCCCATATATCTACTATCCTTAGGTGGACACTTTTTCTATCCCCAGTTTTTTTCTATTGCTTTGTCTCCAGTTTCATGGATCCTTTCTTCTGTAATGTCTAATTTGAACCTTGTCTAATTCCATATATTTTTCATTTCAGCCCATTTTGGGCTGGAGCGATAGCACAGCATGTAGGGCATTTGCCTTGCACGCAGCCAGCATGGCCAACCCGAGTTTGATTCCTCTGCCCCTCTCGGAGAGCCAGGCAAGCTACCGAGAGTATCTCGCCCACACGGCAAAGCCTGGCAAGCTACCTGTGACGTATTTGATATGCCAAACACAGTAACAGTTGTCACAATGGAGACGTTACTGGGCCCGCTCGAGCAAATCGATGAACAACAGGAGGACAGTGACAGTGACAGTGACAGCCCATTTTAGTTTCTGTCTCTAGAAATTTTATTTAGATCTTTTCATTCTTCCCATTTATTTAACAATTTGGCTTTTTTTGAATACCATTAAAGTAATGTTTTATTTGTTGGTTTATAGATTATTAGTCATGCCAGAGTCCAATTCTGAACATTTTGGTGATCCTTAAGAAAGATCTCTCAATGGGGATCCAGACAAACTTTTATTAAATGGTGTGAATTAGGAGTCTAATTTCATTTTTCTGCATGTGGTGATTTTGTTTTCCTAACACTGTTTGTTGAAAGCTTTCCCTTCTCTCTAATGCACTTTGCCATTAATTACTGCCTTTATATGTGAAGGTTTATCTCTGGTGTCTCAATTTTTCGCAGTTGGTTTGGAAGTCTGAATTATTCCTGCCACCCTAGTTCAACAGTGAAACATTGCTTGAATTACAGCAGCCACCTCATACTCTTTCTTTTTAATTCAGATATAAAGATGTAGACCTTTATATCTATCTGCT